TTTGTAAAATGAACTGTATTAGGATTTTATAAATTAAATTTAATAGATTATAAATTTCTGACCTCTTTATTAACATTACCTATGTGTTGCTTTTTGTGTGTTTTTTGCAATTAAAAAAAGTCAATATGAGTTTGATCGATATCAATATTTTACAGCCTTCTATGTATTATCTTTACATTTTTTTATTCAAAACTTTTTTTACATTTTATTTTCATTATTTGTAAAAGCTTCTGTAATCTTTGTAAAAATTTTAATGAAATTACAAATTTCATTTTATTTTTTGCTCATTATTTTTTTCCTAAGATTTTAAATTTTTTCAGCTTTTTTAATTGTTGAAAATTTTCATCCTAAGCTTTTTCATTTGTAAGAAAAAGAATGATTATGTTTGGATTAAATTTTGAAAATCGAAATAAGTTTTCCTCTGTAATGATCAATTAAAAGTTTAGGAAATTGATGAACAAATTTTTGTCCCTCGAGTTTAATTCGATTTTCAAATATTTCATTACCTGTCATTTCCTCATATTGGCTATTATTAATTACCAGTACTTGGACAGGTTTCCTTAAATGCTAATATAAAATTTTAGTATGTACCTCTTCTACTTTTATTTATCTATCTAAATAACTTTTATACTTGCAATTCAATTGAAAACATTATTTCTTGCATATCTCAAGCATCATTATTCTGAAGTTTTAATCCAATCAATAAATGTGATTTGTTACATATCGCAATTTTTTTTTTCGAAATACATTTGCCCCGTTTTGTTTGTTTAGTGATTTTTTTTTTTCTTTTAGCTAGTAATTGTAGATGATTCACACGTAAAAGGATTAAATATTTCTTAAAATTTTTAAATGCAAAGATGAAACGTTGCATCTGTATGAGTTAGTTATTCCTTAAATTTTTTTTTTTCGACAATTATTAAAATATATTTGGGATATATTCACTGCTCTTTTAATTTTTAATTTTTGTGCATATCAAAATATTCAGATTACATTTGCTAGTTTAATTCTCTAGATAAAATTTATATGTATTATGAGATAAATGCATATACATCTCTTTTTTCCAAGATGTTTTCTTTCGTGGAAATTTTAAAATTAAGCTTGGAAAATGTTTGGTGGTTAATATTGATGGCTAATATTTGATGGCTAATAATTTCTTGATGTTAATGTTAATAGCTAATGATAGCTAATTCTACCAGAAATTTACTGAAAAAAAGACTATTTGTTTTTTTATTTTAACAAAAATTTTGGCACATAAAGCGAATGAAGTATCTACGATCATTCCATTCCATTTCTCACTTTTTGTGATAGTAAAATTTAAAATTAGCATTCTTAATAATTCTTAACAATTAGTTAATCAGACTTCTCAACAGTAACTATTGAAATTCTCAGTTATTAATTAATTAAATTTCCTACTTTTCCTATCATAAAATTAAATAAGTATGTATTAATTGAAATATTCTTATTTTCTTCGCATTTGTCAGGTGATGTATATGTTACCACACGTATGATACAAACAATATACACATTGAAATAAATGATATTCACGTGCGACATAAATAATATACACGTGTGACACAAATGATATGCACGTGTGACACAAGCAATATACACGTGTGATATATTTTGTCAAGAAACTGTTCACTGATGTTTCGTAAGATGCTAAAATTTCCTAATTCAATTTGATTTATTATTATCGGATGTTAGAGCAAGTAGAAAAAAAAATTTTTTTTTTCAATTCTTTAAATGCCCATTGCAGTGTCTTTTGTAACAATTTTAATTCAAATTGCCTAATTCCTATAGCATCAAAGAGAGTATGAAATGCATTTGCATAAATTAAAAAATTCAAATTTCAAAATATAAACTTTTAATATTTTTTTTGAAATCTTTGAAATTTTTGAAAATTTGAAATCTTAAAACACTGCTTTCTGACATTTTAATTTTTAAATCGAAATATTTTTTTCTAGTATTCAGTGTATATTTTTGCAAAAAAAAAAAACAAGAAAGTAAAATAAAAAGTATATATCAATTTCTTCAATTGATATAAACTATTTTTAAATAAAATATATTTTTTCTAAAAATGGCAAGAGAAAATGGAAAGTCATTAATTTTGAACCGAGAAGCAATGTAACGAACATCAGTCAATCATTCGTTTAAAAGTTTTTTTTTTTTCTTTCAAAATTATTTCCAACCAGTTGTTTATACCTATTCGGCAACAAATGCTATTTCTTGCACTTTTTTTTTTTTGATCAAATCACTTTCAGACCATTAACTTTAGAATTATCTTCCTTTCCAGCATTATTTCTTTCTAACAGATTTTTATTTTTTGCTTCTGACCATTTTCCTCTTGAGTGAATTTCAAATCTCAGTACTTTTGTAAATAAACTGCTAAATGTGTGCATAATTTTTCCAATGTTAGTAAAATCCAATTTGTCAATACTGCGAAATGCAATTTATCAATCATAAAAAAATTGTAATTTATCATTTATATCGTTAAGATTGAGAAAAAATTAGAAAAAAAAATTACTGCGAAAAAAAGAAAAAAACAGCAAGCAAAAAATCGTTCTGCCAGTATTTTTTTAAATTCTTATTAATAGTTTTAACTCCGTGAATTTTCGTTTTTCAAACTTCTATTCCAGTCAATTTCATTCTTTAAAGAAATTTTCTTTTAAAGGTAATTTTGCAGAACAAAAAAAGGAAAGTTTTGTAATCAAAACTTTTTTATCTCCTAATAGCTTATTTTCATTTGTCACTTCCATTACCTTTTTCAATTCAAGTATCCCTCTTTAACAATTTTGTATTTGACATCTAATGAAACGATTTAGATATATGTAAATTTCTACATATAAATTTTTGCTCAGATTAAACTGTTACTAAAACATACTGTACTATTTATTTCTTCTTTTAAACCATTACCTTATATTACAGTTCGATATGTTTTACATTGAAATAGTAAGTTAGCATTAACTTGCATATTACACTTTCAAATTGCTGATAAATCATACCTTATTTCTCATATATTTAGAAATGATTAGAATGTTAAGGAATAAAATATTGAATTTAATTGTTTAAAGATTATCTCAATCAGATATATCAGTTATATTTTGAAAAATGTTTACAAGTTCAATATAGGTCAATTCAAAGTCGACCTCATTTTGCTGATAGCATTAATAATAGGAATGCAAAGCAGTGATGACATATCTTTTTCATTTCAAAATTTCATCATTCTATTATATTACATGACGAAAAAAAAGTAAAAAAAAATAATTTTAAATTATTAACGACTCATTAAAAATTTATAAATGATTATCAAAGTTATCCAAAAGGATAATGCATTTCTTTTGAAAAAAAAAGGGAAAAAAAAACAGTTATTAACTGATTCTGTTTTCCTTTTTTAATTTTAATTTTCCTTCTGAAATAATAAATTATTAATTTTTGTATTAATATTGATTATTTATTAGATGAGTAATATAGTGCTTGTCATCATGCTGTCGCTAATTTTTATTTTTTCAATATTTAATAATATATAAATGGATGGATATTTTTTAATTGATCATTTTCGTACGATATTTAATGGACCCAAATACATTTTCCGTTTTTGTACCCTGTGAAA